ATAAATAAATAAATAAATAAATAAATATTAAAAATTAAAAAAAAAATTGTAAGAACGGTACACTCTCTATATGCCCTGACATAACTGAAGCCAGATTCCCTGCTTGGCCTCCACCCTCTTGACTTTTGAAGATATTCTGGAGCTTTCTGTGAGCTAAAGCCCAGCTAGACCCAGCTAAAAGTTCCTGAAAGATACTTCAACCAAGGGTTCTGCCAAGGCTACTTCCTTTGCTTTGCTGTCCCTGTGGACATCACAGAGGGCACAGTTGTTGCCCCCTATCCAGAGCTCCTCCTAGCCCGTGTTCCCATCCTCCAGCTGCTGCGGTATAGGTCGTTAGCAGTCTACATGTACCTTCCTCCTCCATGGCTTTTGGTGGATAAGTGCAGCCATGCATAGAGAGGCCCAGGGCTGATGCCTCATTGCCACCCTCCTTCTCCAGGGGCAGCAGAAACTGAGGACTTAGCGATGTGAGTATGCAGGGGCATAATCAGCAGATGCAATTCACACTGCAGTGCCTGGGATCAGACAGAAGATGGCAGACTCCAGAACCCTTATATCTTTGCTTAGCACTGTCCTCTGCCCCAGTTTAGCCCTACATTGTATGATATTTTCCAAGAGTACTCCCTCAATAAGTCACATGCACAAGAACTCCTGTCTCAGACACTGCTTCAAAGGAACTTGACCCAAGACAGATAGCATCTTTCAACTGCATGTATCCATCATGAATACCTAAAACACCCACTCACTATACATTGCAGACATTAAAGGCATCCTCAGGCCCTCCAATGTCAAGACACAGCAAGATAGGCACCCAGAGTGAGCTCGCATCCATCCCCAGCAAAGCTGTTCCACATTCTATCTGGTCTATACACACTGATGCAGCCAATGATTCCATATCCATGAGATTTGTTGAAATCTCCACAGTGTTTGGAGACCCCTGCTTGTACTCTTTCCCTGCCCCCAGTATCTTAAAGTCCAGACCTGCCCAACCACTGTACAGAGGGAGTATTAACCTGGGGATCAGAGCCAGAATTTTAAGGCTTGAATCCCCACTCTGCCACAAATTAACTTGGTGATGTTGGGAGGGTTATTTAAACCTCTTTGCTTCAGTTTTCTCTGCTGTCAAATGGGTATAATATAATACATATCTCATATAGTTGTTGGGAAAATCAAATTTAATAGATCTAAATTGTTTTAAAATAGTGTCAAGGCACACAGAAGGCACTGCATAAATAGTAGCTGTTACTCAGAGTCGTGGAGTCTGCTAACATGAGTCAGGGCATGTTGTGTGCCTGGAATGGTTCCAGGGGTTCTCACGATGATGTCCCTGTTCAGAAAGAAGGAAACTGAGGCACAGAGATTCAGTCACCACACCCAGTGGCACCTGGACACTCTGCTGGACTGAAAGGAGGCTGCAAATTCAGGGCTCCCAGCACAGAGCCTCTCCCTGATTCTGATACCCTCACAGGGCACCCAACTCTGGCTGGGGGGCCTGGTCACAAAGAGCAAGGGGCCAGCCTTCCCTGAACAGGGAAGTGGGTTGGGTGCAAGCAAGGGGTTTTCCAGGGGTTTTCCTGGAGCCTACAGTCTCACTTTCCCATGATTTCTCCAGAGTAGCCTGGGGTCTAACTGCCAGGGCTGAGCACCTGGACATGTGTGTGTCGCCTGGAGCCTAAAGTACAGACATGTGACCCATAGCAGAACCATTACCATTCTGTCATCATTCCCGAAAAGGATGAGTCCCGCTTTGGTGACTATCCCCGGCTGATGGGCTCCTGGGATAGGCAAGGCTTCTCCCTCGGGCACCAGGCCTGCAGTGTTTAGCGTTGAGTTGAAGAAAGTCAGCTTCTGTTGAGGACAGGAAAACCAAAAGATGGTAGATGAAAGAGGCCCCCACTGCTGGCATTCCAGGCAAGGTCGAACAGGGCTAAAGGGATGAAAGGGAGCTGGGCATGGCTAGGGGGAGGAGAGAGGCAGCTAGGGCAGCCACAACACAAGACTAGTCCTAGGCAACCCTTAGGACTCTGCCTCCAGTAGCACAAACAAGACCTGGAAGAGCCTCAGAGTCCTCAGGGAGCCCTCAAGTTCTATGTGCCCCTAGGATCCTATGTATTGGCCGCTGGCCTCAGACCTCAGGTGGAGAGACACTAGGAGAAAATCTGCCCAAGGCATCACAGAGTACCCTGGGGATGCCACTAAGCACTGGTCACATTGCATAGAATCTTGTGGTGATGGGGGGAGCAGAGAGACTCATGGATGGAGTCTGGGGAGTTGGTCAGCAGTCAGGGGTTTGGACAGTCTGAGGCTTTGTGGAGAACAAGACTGCCCTCTGTGGGGAGCAGATTGTTCCCAATGACGGTCCTGCCAAATCCCCATACCTCTTGAGAGCTTGTGAGTGCCAGGGCTCACCATCTGCAGTATATGGACTGCCCAATGCCCAAGCCCTAGCCTGAGCATGGTACTCCGCCCCACTGGGACCAAGTCAAAGTCACAGCTGGACTTGGGATCTCTGCAAGCCCATGGGTGGGAGTCAAAATATTTTACAACCACCATAGCTTGAACCCAGAGCTGTTGCAGGGATCCAGAGGCCTTGAGCTGTGCTGGAACTTTATCCTTTAGCCACCAGATGGTGGACAGATCTAATGGTCCTAGGAGAGGGACTGAGGTGACTGGGGGCACTTGGGTGGGTTTGGGGGTCTAGGCAGTGACTCTTTGACAGCCAGTTCAGACATATTTGATAGCAGGGCACACGAGTGTATCCAACCCAGTCCTAGCCAAGTACAAACACACCTGCCCACAGGCCTCTGTCCAGGCGCCTGGCACCTTGTCGTTCCCTCGGATCCAGTTATGAATCGCCTCTGCTGACTGCTCCCAGTTGATCTGTTGGGCAGGACGTGTGTGCTCAGCCAGTCTCTTCCCCACTCCTTGGCCATCCAGACAATACACCTGTTCTCTCCTTCCCTTCCCCACCACTCTCCAACCTCCCACTTCCCACCCTCCCCAACCTGTCCTGCACCCTGATGAACCCTGACTGAGTGGAGCCCTGGGGAATGAGCTGGGACATCTGGCTTCCTGTTGGGCACTGGTCTGAGTCCCTGAGCTGGAACAGGCCGATCTCTGGTACCCCAGCTCTGGGTGCTCTCTGACCCCAGCCTTTCACTGGTTGTGTAAACTTTAGGAGCATGATTGGGGAAGATAACACTCAGTTAAGGTGGCCAAGGCCTGACACAGACTCCCCAGCAGAGTGCAGGCTCATCCCATAGGCCCCCCAACAGCTTCTCCTCACTTGTAGGGCTCACATAGACCCCTATGCACCCCATAAGCCCTGATCAGAGGTACAGCCCATAAGCTTCCCCATGCCCAAAGCTGCAGTAGCTCTGAGAAACTGAATTACTTCTCGGATCTCATCTTAGAGACTTCCAGCACTGTGGCTGATGTTTTACACACTGCCCCACCTCAGCTCTTCTCCCTGGAGACCCTGCCTGTCCATTCTTCCTAAAGGGGAACAGAGAACAACCCAGAACACACCCTGTTGCCTGCCTGTCCAGGTGTCACAGGAACTTTGCTCACACTTCTCCTGCGTGGGCTGCTCTCTCTTCAGGCCTTAAACAATTATAGCTTGGCTAGTCAGCCTAAACCCCAGCTTCCCTGGGACACCCTCTGCACCCCAGCACATGCATGGGGAGCCTTTGGGGTGGGCAGGGCTCTGCACTCACCTTGGCTGTTTCCTTCTTCTGAATGCCCTCGTAGGTGGCTCCTTCCTCAGGCTGGGGGAGTCTGGGGGCTTTGCCTTCGGCGATCAGCCTCACAGCCTGCACCTGGGGAGACCAGGTCAGTTAGCATCCCCAGCATTACAACCCTCCCCTCACTCCCAGGCCCTGGGTTCACCATGAACCTGGACTCAGCCCCACACTGACCAGACTTGCCTGGCCCCATGCCAGGTACTCCATGGGTACCCAAGGAATATCCCTGATAGGAATGGGTACAGTTAGTCTGAATCTAATTCCATTCTGAAGGAGGAATACAAAACCCTGCCATCTCTACCAAACACAGTTTTAGAAGATTATATAGAAGATCTTATACCTTCTGAGAACTTAGATTATATAAACTACAAAGCCCTATACAGATGTAACAAACACAATTCCTATATTTTCATCTAAAACCTTCCCTGTCTGTTAAGGGGAATGGATTCTGAGCCCCATGTAGTGTTTGGAGGTCTGAGATTAAGCAGGAAGCTGTTTTTCTGTGAAGGAAAAGGGGAGATTGTAGAAGAAGGAATCAGGGAAGTAGGCAGGAGAGACAAGGAGCCTAGGCCCATCCTGAGGGGGTCCTGGGGGGACCCCCAGAGATACCCAAACCAAGAAGTGATGAGAATGTCAGAAACATCTAAAGCAGGACTGACCAGAAGAACTTTCTGGATGAGGGACATGTTCTGTGTCAGAACTGTCCAATACAGTGGCCATCAGCCAGTGTAGTTCCTGTACTGGGGATTTGAAAGGTAGCTATGGGAACTGAGGACCTCAATTTTTAATTAGAATTCAATTTAATGAATTTAATAGGTGCATGTGACTAGCAGGTGTCATATTGGATGGCGCAGCTCTAAACCACTAAAGTTGTTTCCTGTGGGATATGTCAGATAAGCCCCTTCTCTGTCTCTCCTATCAAATCTCCAGCAAGTCTACTTTATTCATTATTTTTGTGAGCAGGTGGACTCCATGGGAGGGAATACAAGAGGCATCTGTTTGACATACACGAAAAATAAAAGATGGCTGACATCTGGGCAGCAGTGAGCACTCTCACGTCATTGCTCTGCTTATCGCTACTCCCAAACAGGGAACGTTCTCCTCTCTGAGATAGCCTCCTCTTTGACTCCTGACTGCTGCTGGAACCAACCAGAAGTTCGTGTGTGTCTCTGCCTTTTGGTCAACTCTGGATGGCTTCCTTTGGCTCCACCACCAGCAGCCACACAGACACACCTGTCCCTAAGGGGTCAGGTCCCATGGGGCCTGCCTGCTGTACCAACCACAATTGTGTCTGACATCAGTCCTTCTTGTCTGTCTTGCTCTGATAACAGAACCCTGTCTCCTGCAGACAACTTAACCTATATGACTACAGTTGGGCTTCTCTGATTTTTCATTCAGGAATTTTGTGAGAAAGAGGGTTTTTCTTCCTTTGGAATCCAGAGGCAAAAGCCTCGAGCCATCAGTGACTACTTTTCCTCTCATTTGAGGGCAGCCCACCTGAAGATGAAGCTCATCAAAGAGAGAAAAGTAGCATCAGAAGGAAGGCAAAGATACAGAATCCTAAGACATGGCTTCTACCTCTGGACTCAGCCATGCTTGGCACCATCCTTGTCTTTTGTCTTCTATATTAAATGAGCCAAAAAATGTTCCCTTTGTGGATAAGCTTTCCGAATTGGGTTCGGTCAGTTGTAAGCAAGAGTCTTGCCTAACAACAATACATTGTATGTCCTAATCCTGCCTCTTTGAGAGCTCTCTCCCTCTAGAATCCTGGAACTGGGGAAAGAGGCTGGGGGGCAGGCTGGGCCTGGATACCAGTAAGGGGAGGCCCACATATGGCATGGCTGTTTCCCAGCCCTTACCATCCCTTTGATGCCTTCAGGAAAGAGGAAGCGGTTGTATAGAGTGCTCACGGTGTCATCCGGGAGGATCTCACACTCCTTCTGGAGAAGAAGGTCCCCAGTGTCCAGACCGTCATCTGCCCAGAAGATGGTAAAACCCCCTTTCTTGTCTCCATGAATAAGGGTCCTAGAGAGCACAAGTTTTAAAGCCTGAGTCTAGGGGGCAATCCGGGAGCACCTAGCACCTGCTAGGTGTTGTGGTAAAAGCCCTATATGCTTGATGTGACATAATACCCCAACAGGTATCACAGGCATTTTATGCCCCTTTTACAGATAAGGAAACTAAGGTCTAAGAAATGAAGAGACATAACCAAGGAGGTCAGGGAGCCTGACCCTGAGGTCGGTGAGCCTGAATCTCAGTCTGGCTACAAACCCCCACTCTTCCCAGCTCAGATGCCTCCCCTTGCTGATCACCCAGCTAAACTGCACCATCAGTCACATGGTTCCATTTGTCCCCTTAGCACTTACCATGTCAAACCATCTTGTTCAGATGACCTTTTACTCCATCTCTATCCCTTTCCAAGTAGGATGCTGCTGTGTACTGGCAGTGGGTGTGGGTTCAAGCAGGCCTCTGGCCACACTGCCTGGGTTGGTACCCTTGGGCAAGTCCCTTAACCCATTCTGTTCCAGTGACTCTGCCTGCCAGGGTGGGACCACTGATGTGTGTACTTCACAGTTGACTGTAGGAACCCAGAGCACTTAGCAAGGTCTGTCCCTGATTCTCTCTGGCACTCTTGGCACTCCTGAGAACATCTCACCAGTCAGCCATGTGGATGCCATCTGGCAGCACAGGAGGGGCCCCTGCATGATGCCTGTTTTGTGGCCCCAGAGCAAAGTTGTGGGCTAGGGGAGGATGACTTTTTGGCAGATGGGGGTGTTTTCACTCTTTCTCACCAGTTGATGGCCGAGGCCCCTCGGTGCCGGGGGAGCAGACTTGGGTGGTAGATGATGGAGCCGTGACAGGGGGCATTGATGACCTCCATGGGGATGAACTGGCTGCAGAAGGGCAGGACGTTGAGCTCAGCACCCAAAGCCTGGTATTTCGCCACCACGTCGGGTAGAGCCTGTCCTTTCACCCGCCAGCGGGGGAACTTGAACACTGGCACTCCATCCTTCTCGGCCTCCAGGCCTGTGGAACAGCAGGTGAGAAACCGGCCCCTCCCTGCACCCATCCACCCACAGCCACCACTGCCTTCCCAGCAAAGTGACTCCTACATCTTCTTTCCCAGCCTGTCCCTCCTGCCCTTCCCCATTGCCCAGCGGGACTCCACTGGGCAGCACAGAGGGAACACAACCAAGGGGACAGCACTGGCCAAGGGCAAGGTTGCAGTGGCTGCTCTGCCTGGACTCACTTCTGCTGACCACCAAGGCATCTGAGCTCCCTGCTCTCCCAGGTTCCTGTCTGACCCCTGAAGGCTCAGCTCTTCTCCTCACCCCTCCCAAAGCCTCACCATGCTGTCCCCAAGCTTCTGTCCTCCACCCTTCAACCACTTTCTGGGATGGCAGCTGGGACCCTACAAACTGCATTCCTGCTTCGTCAAATACTCCCTGTCAAGCACTGCCAATAAGGGGTAATGGAGGGACACTAAAAGGTTGAGGGGAAGGGGAAAGTGAGGGAGGTGGGGTTTGCTCCTTTCTGTCAGGTTCCTGTCCTGAGAGCCCCACCCAACCATGCCACCTCACTTCTTAACCCCAGCTGCAGCAGTGCTTTCCCAGAGGAGCAGCTGGATTAATTTGCCGTTTTCCCAACATCTGCAGAATTACCCAAATGTACACTTTCCTCCCATCATGTCTGCCTTCCAAAGTCTGGGTCTCAGCTTGCAAGCACCCCCACCTGCACCTGCCCAGTTACCAGCACCTAGGAGCACCATGCAGTCCTCATGGGTCTGAATTCCAGCCCCAAGCTTCCGAGATTTAGAAGCCACAGCTTCCTTCTACTTCCCCAGCCTGGGAGGTGGCAGCTGCCAGCTGCATTCACTACCCTGATAGCTTGGAGTTCCCTTTTGCCTGCCCCTCTTCAGCACGTAATGAACACATCCCCATCCTGGGTTCTCCATTAGAACATCCATCCTGATAACTGGTCCCCGACTAGACCTGACCCACTCTGTAGCCCCCTCTGCCTCTGCCCTGCATTTGGGGACGTTGAGGGAATGTGGGATCAAAGTGAGCCGACTGGACTGTGCTTGCAAAAGCTGTCCACACTATGACCAAGGAATACTTCTGCAAGACATCCAAGGTCAGGGTCAAGAAGCAGCCCCACCCAGGCTCCATCTGGGTCCAGACTCATAGACTGGTATCAGTGGTCACTTAGTGGCTGGTATCAGGGTTCATTTTGTGGTGAGTTCAGGTTGTATCACAGATCACACTGGGGTCAAGTCCAAGAGTGTGCACTGGCTAGCATCATGATGATTCTGGAGCTGGTTCCAGGGGTCTGCCTATGCTTTTCAGTCTAGAGAGATTATTTCTATGAACCATACCTCTGTGCCTGGCCAGCCCCACAAGGCTCCTTTCCCAATCTGGCCTTCCATTTTTAAGCCCCACTTTATATTCTGCATCCATCTGGCCCAAGAAGGACTTATGAATGTCCCTGGAGGGTCTTTTCATTTGAGCTGAGCACCCCTCCTTCCTCCCCTGGGTTCCTGCTGTGCTGCTGATGTTCCCAGCCCAGAGGCTAGTGATTGTCAAACAGTGCTCCTCCAAGAGCCAGAGGCTCAGCCTCACCTGGGAACTTGTTAGAAATGCAGATTCTCAGACCCCACCCTTCTCTCTAAACAAACTCCCAGGGCAAGGCTCAGGACTGGGCATAACAGGCACTCCCAGTGATGGGGATATGGTGCACATTCATATCTGAGAACACTGTCCTGCAGTGTCTCACACCTAGCAGCCCTTTCAGAGCCTGATGCTGGGGTCAGAGAAGCCTGGAATAGTCAGAGAGCAGGGCCCTGGGAGCAGGCCAGGCTTCTCCATGGCCCTTCTCCAGGACACAACCCCCACCCCATGATCAGGTGGGGAAGGGACTTTTACTTTGTTCCAGAAAATCCCAGCAGCCAGTTGGTGCCTGAGCAGGATTCAAGGTGGAGTATGTACAGCTGCCTCCAGCCAGGGATGCCCACAAACAACACAAGACCCTGCAATCTTCTGTTCCCACCCACCACCCATTGCTAGCTGCCTGCCCGGGCACCCCCTTTCCCTGCTCTTGGGCCACGCACTCACCCAGGGGATCCGCCTTTCCATCCTTGTCTGGGACAGTGAAAACGCCCACGACCTCATGTCCCTCCTTCCGCAGGTGACAGTAAACTTCCTGGCCAAACAGGCTCTGCCCAATCACGGCGATCTTCATGGCAGCAGGGATCTGTCAGAAGGTTCTGGGGATGGAATAAGACTGCGGCATTAGACAGGGCTCACTGGCCTCGGAGAGCCAACCCTAGTCCAAGTGGGCAGCTGCACAGCACCTTGGCCACCCTGCCCTCCTCAACCACTTGGGGTTATCTCTGGGGCTCCCTGAGTATCAGGACGCTGCAGGGAGTCGCTACTGTGAAAGGGACCAGAGGAGAAAGTTCTGCAAGGGATGGATTTTAATGCCACAGTAGGTGAGTTGCATGGAGATTGGAGAATTAGGGATTCCTCCTCGAAACTTCCCAAGTTGGCATGGAACACTGAGAGTTGAGTCCTCTGAGATATATATTTTTTAATTGTTTAAATATGTATTCATTTTTGAGAGAAAGAGAGAGAGAGAACAGGGCAGGGGCAGAGAGATAGGGAGACACAGAATCTGAAGCAGGCTCCAGGCTCTGAGCTGTCAGCACGGAGCCTGACATGGGGTTCAAACCCACAAACTGCAAGATCATGACCAGAGCCGAAGTCAGACGCTTAACTGACTGAGTCACCCAGGCGTCCCTGAACACAGGTTCTTAAACTTCACATAGTACACTTTACCAAAATTTCCCTTTATGATTAGTGGGTTTTGTATTCTACTTAAGAAATTGTTGCCTACTGCCAGTTCATGAGGAAGTTCTCTCTGTCTTCTAAAATCTTTATTGTTTGACAAAGGAGCAAAGTATACTCAATGGAGGAAAGAGAGCTTTTCAACAAATGTGGCTGGCACAACTGGACATCCACATGCAAAAATGTGAATCCAGGCACAGACCTTACACCCTTTTCAAATATTAACTCAAAATACATCACAGACCTAAATGTGAAATGCAAAATTCTGACTCCTAGAAGGTAACACAGAAGAAAATTTCATCACCTTGGTTATACAGTGAGTTTTAGATACAACATCGAAGGAACGATTTGTGAAGTAAACAATGGATGCACTCTTGCACATTGCTGATGGAATGCAAAATGACAGTCACTTTGGAAGGCATTTTGGCAGTTTCTCACAAAACTAAACATACCATTACCATATGATCTAGCAACCACACTCTTTGGTCTTTACAAAAGGAGTTGTAAACTTACATACACACGAAAACCTGCACATAGATATGTATAGCAACTTTATTCATGATTTCCAAAACTTGGAAGCAACCAAAGTGTCTTCCTGTAGGTGAATGGATTAATAAACTGTGGGACATTCAGACAATAGGACTGAAAAGAAACGAGCTATCAAGTCATGAAAAGACATGGAGGAATCTTAAATGCATATTATCAAATGAAAAAAAGTCACTCTTAAAAGGCCACATAATGTAGGACTCTAACTTTATGATATTCTGGAAAAGGCAAAACCCCAATTTTTATTGGACACAATAAAAATCAGTGGCTACCAGGAGTTGGAGAAGAGGAAAGGGATGAACTGGTGGAGCACAGGATGTTCAGGGAAGCAGAAACACCGTGTGATCCCATAATGATGAGTACGTGTATTATGCTTTTGTCCAAACCCATATAACATGCAACACCAAGAGTAAACCCCAATGTACACTATGGACTCTGGGTGACACTGTGTGAGCATAGGTTCATCAACTGTAACAAATGTATCACTCTGGTGGGGGATGTTGGGATGGGGGGGTGTTGTGTGTGGCAGAAGGCAGTGGAGATGTAAGAAATCTCTGTACCTTCCCTTTAATTTTGTTGCAAACTTTAAACTGCTCTAAAAAATAAAGTGTTAATTTTAAAAAGAGAGGTATTAGAAAAAACTTTATTGTTTTACGTTTTATATTTCTTTTTTTTTTTTTTTTTTAAAAAAAATTTTTTTTTTCAATGTTTATTTATTTTTGGGACAGAGAGAGACAGAGCATGAACGGGGGAGGGGCAGAGAGAGAGAGACACACAGAATCGGAAACAGGCTCCAGGCTCTGAGCCATCAGCCCAGAGCCCGACGCGGGGCTCGAACTCACGGACCGCGAGATCGTGACCTGGCTGAAGTCGGACGCTTAACCGACTGCGCCACCCAGGCGCCCCACGTTTTATATTTCATTGCATGCAATTCTTCTAGAATTTTTTGTGTATAGCAGGAAGTGGAAGTCCAGAGATATTTTTCCAGTACTATATATGAGTAAATCTATCTCTGGGCCTGTATTCTGTTCCATTGTCAGTTTGTCTATCTTTGTGTTTATTATACCTTAAAAAGTTTTGTAATAATGGTAAAAAAATATGTAATAGAGAATTTGCCATTTTAATAATTTCTAAATGTGCAGTTCAGAACTCTTTTACATTCACAGTATTGTGTAAGTATCACAACTATTTCATCACCCCAAACAGAAACTCTATGTTCATTAAGCAGTAACTTTCCATTAGCCACCAGTAGCCCCTGTTGGCCTCCAATCTACTTTCTGTCTCTGTAAATTTGCCCATACATGGTATCACATGTAAGTGAAATCATGTACCTGGCTTATTCCACTTAGCATAATGTTTTCAAGGTTTAAGCATATTGTTTATAGCAGCACTTTCAACAATAGCCAAATTATGGAAAGAGCCTAAATGTCCATCAACTGATGAATGGATAAAGAAATTATGGATGGAGGAGGAGCCAAGATGGCAGACAGCATGGAAGTTTTTTGTGTGTCTCGCGTCCATGAAATACAGCCAGACCAACACTAAACCATCCTACACACTTAGAAAACTGACTGGAGGATTAACACAACAATCTGCACAACCTGAACCACAGAATTCAGCAGGTATGTGGCACAGAGAAGTGGACTTGGGGAGCAAGAGGTGCAGGAAGGGAGGTGCTTTTGCTAGCGGAGAGAGGATGGAGACTGGGGAGTGGGGAGAGAATATGGGAAAAGCACCCCTCCCCAAAAGCAGCTGGAGATAAAGTGGAAAATTGGAAACAGCTGCAGGGACTAAACTAAAAAGGGAGAAAGGAGAAAGGAGAGGGTTTAAATTCCATTAAGACTGTAAAAAGGGGAGTGTAAAGTCTGCAACTCTGCAGCTCGATATCTGGCAGTGCTCTGGAGGGAAGGACAAATCCCCAGGAACAGAGTGGGGTCAGGGAGGATCTTGGGCCACATGGGGAAAAGCAGTTCCACTGCTGGAAAGACATTTGGTAGAGACTGTTGAAGCCACCTGGTCCCAGCAGACCCCAGAAAATGGCCACATTCGCTGGTGCTGGAACAAGGTCATTAAGAGTGAAGCCTAGTGCCAGATGTGTGTTGTGATCTTCCATAATCCCTGAAATGCTGCTGCTACACTATCTCATGAACTTTTTCTGGGGTGGGCTGGCACCTGGCCGCAGTGTCGGGGCACCAGCAGCAGAAGGGTCCAGCAGGTGTTCCTGGGTGCAACCAGCATTTGGCCATTGATTGGTGAGACCCTTCTGCAGAGGGGCAAGACAGGTCAAAGCCGCAGTCTTTTGGAAGTAAGGGGCTGGGGAAAGCAGCTGCATCTGAGACAAAACTCAGGAGAGAGGTAGTGCCTGGGGCCTGGTCACAAAGAGTGAAAAAGCAGGGAGTGGATGAAAACTGAAGACAGAGGGCAGGTGCGTGATTGCTGATCTGGGAGAACAGACTGGGTAGCTGGGTGGAGGCATTTTCACCACCCCTGCCCATGCGCATACACACCTACGAGCTCCACAACAATCCATCCCAGTAGGCTACCAGCACCATCTAGTGGAAATCGGAGCCGTTACACTGAGCCCTGCCCACCTGGGCTAACTTCACTCTTCAGGAACACAAGTCTCACCGCCGGTTTAGTTTATGGACTATAAAGCACTACATAGACTGACTTTTAGGGGAAAAGAAAGTAATTTCAGTCCTATGTCAATCTGTTAGCAGGTCCATCTATTCAATTTTCTTTCTTTTTTTTCTCTTTTACACTTCTTTTTCTTGGATACAGAAAGAGAAAAAATTCATTTTAATTTTCAATTTTTATTAAAAATATTTTTTTAACTTTTATTACTATATTTTTTACTTTTGTGTAAGTTTTTTCAAATTCTATTTTACTTCCATTTTATTTTAGTCTACTTCAGTGTATTGATCTTTTCAAATTTTCCAACAATTGCTTTTTTTCTTTTTCCTTTTTTACTCTTTTTTGTTTCTTTTCTTTTTCTTGAAAGCAGAAAGAGAAAAACTTCATTTTTACCTTCAATTTCTGTTAAAAATATTTTTCTTTAATTTTTTACTATATTTTTGGCCTTTATGTAAATTTTTTCAAATTCTATTTTACTTCCATCATTTTGTTTTAGTCTACTACAGTGTATTCACTTTTTCAAATTTTCAAATGATTTCCTTTTTTCCTTTATTTTCCTTTTTCTTCTTTCTTTTTTTTGTTTCTTTTCTTTCTCTTGAATATAGAAAAAGAAAAAATTCATTTTTATTTTTAATTTTTAATAAAATATTTCTTTAATTTTTTCTACTATATTCTTTACTTCTGTGTATATTTTTTCAAATTTTATTTTACTTCCATCATCTCATTTTAGTCTACTTCAGTGTATTCATTTTTTGAAATTCTCAAACGATTTCCTTTTTTTTCCTTTTTCCTCCCCTTTTTTCTCTAATCTGTCAAACCACTTTCAACACCCAGACCAAAACACACCTAGGATCTAGCATCATTTATTCGATTTGTGTGTGTGTGGGGGGGTTAATTTTTTAATTTTAATTTTTTTAATTTTAATTTTTCTACCTCATTAATTCCTTTTCTCCCTTCAAAATGACAAAACAAAGGAATTCACCCCAAAAGAAAGAGCACGAAGAAACGACAGCC